AAAATGGACTCCCTAGCTGGACACCAAAAATCCATCCTTGACAATAATCCTAGGAGAGCCGGCCTGGACCCAAAGGTAGCAAAAATAATACGCCCCCAAACCCACAAATAGCCAGAAAAGCCATTATTTCATGTACATCTGCGTTCAGGTATACCCATGCGAAACCCTAAACCAACAACCGAGAACAAAACTCTACATCACATACTACAAGTAGCCTGGAGTTGCCCTGGAGTTGAGGGTTCACGAATTAGGGTGGATAGGGAGTAGGGTGCGCCCCACATTGATGTAGAATGATAACCAGCTTGGAACTTCTGGCCTACCATGTTACCTACTCTTGGGGTCCAAACAAACCCTTGACCGTAAACCTTGAACTGCACATGCGCTTGTGAATCCGGACCTGTCCCCGCTGGTGGAGGAAAGACGCCTGTTAGTGGCCCTGGTCGGCGCCGGGCTCTTTGGTGGGAGGGTATGAAATTTTGGGTTCCACAAGTTAGGGGTACGATTTTGGGGGTCCCCGCACTGAGGAATATAATAAATTGAATTCTATATTGGGGTCCACCTATGGCTGATTTTGACCGCTTCCGTGTACAAGTGCGTATGCCATGTCGGTGATAAGAGGCAGTACAACAAGTATGGCAAAGGATGTGCGGAGATGTGTCTCTAAGTAGGTCAACATAGCTTGCTCAGCTGTACAAGAAACATACCCCAGATGCAGTATGCAATATCCTGCCTCGTCCGCCAGAAACACGACATAACATGTGAACTCCAGCGTTTTAAATTCTGATGCTTATAGAACAGTAGGATCCGTGTCTGAGCATGCAACCATCGCAGTGTTCCCTGTATACGCTACCACAGGCGTACCCAAAACCAAGCTCCCTGGCGTAGGAATGATTCGGCCAAAGCAGAGGGCCAGAGGGGACTCATCCATCAGCTGACAGTCTTAGGGCCCTGCTGCTTCAAGTTGAACCCCTCCAATGCTTCAAACGGCTAGGTTCAGCCCGCCTTCGCACATTGCAACACGATCTATTGTCCCGAAAGGCGCATGGAAGAAGCCGCCACAGGGCGTCCCTGGCCGCTCTCCTGCTGGACGGGCATCATCAGACAACTATGTAAGAAACGAAACACAACTTCTGATCGGGAGCCTCTCACACGCTAGCTGCTGAATGGCTTTGAAATATGTGTAAAGGCGGAGGCCCTTTGGAGAAAGGAATCGGCTGCTCAAGCGCCCCCGAGATGTGCTTGGGATCTGGTTGCAACCCGCAGCCGTGCACAAACGAAGGCGTTGGTCGCCAATTGTTGGCCACCGACTTAGCTGTGACCCGTCAAGCCCACTGCAGGCTTGGCACAGAGGGTGGGGGGGGTGAACCTTGATGGACTGCACTTCATTTTCAGTCCCCAACGGCCCATGTAGGCATAAAATGGACATAGGTCTGGAAGGGGGTGCCAGACAAGCGAAGGCAAAGTATATACAATGTTAATTACTATGTAGCTATGTATGGACCCTTTGGGAAAGCTGTTTGCCGCGGCGGAGTGCTGGCAAGAATTACGGGGCTTCCACGATCTTCGTTTCACATAGTTGGGGGGGTCGCTGTTAATTCGCTTGAGGTCCGGAGACAGAATAGTCAACATTATCGGAAGGATGGGTGTATGTTGCTCAGCATGTCATTCCCAAGTGGTGATGGCCGCTAGTCTACCATGACACGACCGTTTGTGCAACTGCCATTATAACTTTAAGGCACAGTTTTCAGAATGCTGCTGTCAGTATCAGAACTTTGGAACTTTCAGCCGAAATCCCTCTGTGATCATCTGTGAGAAATGTGGATGTGGGAAACAATAAGAGCAAGGTTTCATGGATATTCTGCCTGCGCCCCCTGCTGGATGGAAGGCTCCAGTCGGAGTGCCTGGCGGAGCGTTTAGGGTAGCTTTCTCAATGTGGTTCCTATGTCACAACCCCCAAACCATGCCGTCCAGAAACTCCATCTTCATGGCGCACCCTGTCTTTTGGTGTGAAAATGCTTGCCTGTCCCAGCCGGCGCATGGAAGAAGCCGCCACAGGGCGTCCCTGGCCGCTCTCCTGCTGGACAGGCATCATCAGACAACTATGTAAGAAACAGAAACACAACTTCTGACCAGGAGCCTCTCACACGCTAGCTGCTCAATGCCTCTGAAATAATTATCTGTAAAGGCGGGGGCCCTTTGGAGAAAGGAATTGGCTGCACAAGCGCCCCCGAGATGTGCTTGGGATCTGGTTACAACCCGGAGCCGTGCACAAACGAAGGCGTTGGTAGCCAATTGTTGGCCCCGACTTAGCTGTGACCCGTCAAGCCCACTGCAGGCTTGGCACAGAGGGTGAGGGGGTGAACCTTGATGGACTGCGCTTCATTTTCAATCCCCAACGGCCCATGTAGGTATGAAAAATACATAGGTCTGGAAGGGGGTACCATACAAGCGAAGGCAAAGTATATACAATATCACCACGTAGCTATACATGGACCCTTTCGGAAAGCTGTTTGCCGCGTCGGAGTGCTCACGAGTTTCGTTTCGCTGAAAACTTTGTAACTTTGAGCCGAGATCCCTCTGTGATCATCTGTGAGAAATGTGGCTGTGGGAAACAATAAGAGCGAGGTTTCATCGATATTCCGCCTGCGCCCCCTGCTGGATGGAAGGCCCCAGTCGGAGTGCCTGGCGGAGCGTTTAGGGTAGGTTTCTCAATGTGGTTCCTATGTCACAAGCCCCAAACCATGCCGTCCAGAAACTCCATCTCCATGGCCACTTATATAACATGTTTGAGCACATGAGCGTGAGAAATGACAAGGGCCACTTCAAAATGCTTTATGGCAACTCGCAATTGCGCAGGATATTGACAATTGGGCGTTTGGGGTTTCAGTGCAGAAAGTTAACACTTGAAGGCCGGCAGTCTTAGAGTCCAGGTCCATAAGCGCCCGACCAGAATGGCATGTACTTTGCAGTGGTTGGAGTACAGCGCATGCACGGCTGTCGGGCAATTAGTCTGACTCCTCCCTCAACGCGCCTTGTAAACTCAGAGGGCAGACCAGAGCAAGTCAGAGCATCGGCGCTTCTTGTCACAAGCCGATTTTGAACATGAACAGCTAGTCAGGACAGCATGCAGCCGCCCTCCAACATCAAACAAACCCGCATAGACCATGGAAAGCCGGAAATAACAACAAACAGCAAGAATAATTGATTCAGCAAGGCAAGTGCGCACAGTCTTGCCACATCTTGTCTACCACCCAAGCTTTTCGCATGCCATGTTCAGGGCAAAACAAGGATTCGTGAGCAAAACAAACCCGAAGAAAAGCACAACGCATGATCATGAACAGCTTGCAATTGATCAGTCAAAGGGATGCTGCTTCAGCAATTGCTGTACGCCACCAGACCCCAGATCTTCAGAAAACAGATGCACCTCCGTCAAGAAACAGAAATCAATGACTGCAGTCAAGTTACAGTCTTATAATAATCATAAGTCTAGTACGACTGAGAGGCCATGAGGACCTTCTCTCCATTCTCCCAGGTCCTAGGCTTTAGCGCCAACTTATCTTTCCAGGGCTCCGGCCCTCACCATCATTGCGGCCGTAACTTTGGCTGCTACGCTTGCAGCTACTCTTTGTGTTCTAGTTCCTGTCTCCTCAAGATCTGCTATGAAATTATTCCACATCTTTGTGTCGAACTTCTTTATCGCTCTTGCTTGCGGCAACAGATTAGATTTTCCGAAAGTTCGGATCACGCTACAAAACTGGAATGCATCATGAGGACCCCAGAAGTATCGGAGCCTGCTCCCGTCGGTGGACGGAAGGCCCCAGTCGGAGTCCCTGACAGGGCTTACGTAATTCAATGATTCCGGCTCATGGTTGTACGGAATCCTGGTTTAGACTTTTGGGATTTCTTGCCACTGGTTGCTATATAGGGAATGAAGCGCAAGGTCATCTCGGGGTTAATTAATGCACAGGGATTGTTCTGGAGATTCTGGGGATCGAGTACCAATCCTGACATAGTAACTAACATCAAGGAAGTGTTTGGACAACAACGGTGCGGTACAAGTAGAAACCACACTGTTAAAAACACTGGTGATAGGCATAGCCACCTTATTGAGAAAAGGTAGTAACCATATATTCGTAGCGCGAAAACAAGCTTGGGCAGGACAAGGCATGCAGGCTTTCAGAACATGAATGAGTAGTTTGGAAATCCTGCGGTGCACCAGTTTTCCCCGGATGTCGGCTCTTTAGGCTGCTCATGTAGGGATTGGATGATGTCGATTTTTCGACATGAAGAATAGCGGGCTCAGTAGTACAACGCTTCCGCATCCTTGATTTTCGTCAGTAGCAGCATACAAACAGAGTCGTAACACTATGCAAAATTTGCTTCTGAAGGTTTATGTTCTCCGCTATGTGCCCTGTGCATTCATTGCAGGACGACCGCCCTGCCGCGAGTACGAATGGTAGAAACTTTGTCAAACACACAAATCAACAGCTCCAGGCTCCCGTGCTATGTACTCAGGGCAAAGGTATGAACCAACACATGTGCCATTGTTAGCCTAAATTCTTGTAGTTGTGCTGCAACAGGCAGTTTCCTCAAAGGATGACTAATGTGCGCCCTTTGTCTGACCATAGCCTACCAGGCCCAGGGCATGGGTCTGCATGCAGACAACTGGATGCAAGCAATTTCTCCTTGATTCAGGCACTCAGGATCCAGGTGCCAAACAACCATGGACAAGCCCAAGCATCAGACATCTGCAAACCAGCAGTTTAGGGGCAGTGGGGGAGTCGATCCCTGTACTTCATCCCTACATACGTCCATGATACGAGTAGTGGTGTGGATCCACAGATACCACGAGGCGCCCAAATGCAGGACATTTGCCAACCCAGGCTTCAGGCGCAAGACTGCGAGATGTCTACGCCTTGTCTGCGGCCTTGTAGAGGGCTCGCTGCTTCTATCAACTGACGCATCTACGGCTTTTAGGCACCACTGCTCACGGGACTATTTTATTTTGTTCTCATGTTGTCCCCAAATCTCTTCGTAAAGGCTGCCTCCGTGTATTGCATTGCAGAAGCAAACTTTGACAGCTCACTGCGTTCGTTCAGAATTCGGAAGCGATGTGACCAGCGCTCATAGCTGTACGTCAGCACAGCGGGATATCGTCTGAGAAGGTCGGGGACTTGCCCAGAAGGAACGAACTGCTGCAACAGAGCCATCTTCGGAGACAGGTTTCGTGTGATATTCAAGCCAAACAGTGACGGCATAACTGCCAACATGCCAGCAGCTTCGCGACAGTCAAGACCCAGCTCCAAAAACCACTGCACCTTTCCCTTTAAATTCATGTGAATGCTTTGTCCCACGACATTTGGACATCTGGCAATGACCTTTGCAACCTCCACCTTTGTCAAGCCCGTGTCTCGAAGCCACTGGACTGTGGGCTTCAGGTTCTCTTCGATGCTGAATCCCAGAATGTTCGGATACCTGGCAATGACCTTGGCAACCGCCATCTTTGTCAAGCCCGTGTCTCGAAGCCACTGGACTGTGGGCTTCAGGTTCTCTTCGATGCTATATCCAAAAACGGCTGGACATCTAGCAATGACCCTTGCAACCTCCACCTTTGTCAAGCCCGTGTCTCGAAGCCACTGGACTGTGGGCTTCAGGTTCTTTTCGATGCTATATCCCAAAACGGCTGGACTTCTAGCAACAACCTTGGCAACCTCAACCTTTGTCAAGCCCGTGTCTCGAAGCCACTGGACTGTGGGCTTCAGGTTCTTTTCGATGCTACATGCCAAAACGGCTGGATGTCTAGCAATCACCTTGGCAATCTCCATCTTCACCAAGCCCTTGTCTAGAAGCCACTGGACTGTGGGCTTCAGGTTCTCTTCGATGCTACATCCCAAAACGGCGGGACATCTAGCAATCACCTTGGCAACCTCGCTCTTCGTCAAGCCCGTGTCTCGAAGCCACTGGACTGTGGGCTTCAG